GGTCGGGGAATATGGGAGAAGGAAGGTTCGGGGGGGCTTGTGTAGGGGTCTGTGATTGTTGGGCGTCTGGAGGGCGGGTCATGGGGGAAGCAGGGGTTTGGTAGAGGCTTTGGGGGTTAGGGTTGGGATGGGAATGGGTCTTGGGAAAGTTTTTACACTGGATTTGGTACTTTACTGTTAAAGTAATTGTTATTATTATTATTGTTTTTAATATTAGTATTATTATCATTAATGTATTTATTATTTTTGCAATTATTATTATTGTTATTATTATTGTAATTATAATGGTTATTGTTATCATTATTGTTGTTTTTATTATTGTTGATATTGTTGTTACTATCATTATAAGAATCATTATCATCACTGATATTAACATAGATATGATTTGTACTGTGGCGGGTTGTGAATTTTTTCCAATATGATTTACTTTTTTCCAATATTTATTTAACTTTCCCATCCAAAGCATAATTTACTTTGTAAGATATGTTTTAACCCCCTGGATACGGATGACTTTGAGGTCACGTCAAGGAAAATCGTGGACAGCTATACGGATGACGTAAACGTGGCGTCAAGAGTGAAGGCCAGGGTGACGGAAAAGACTCGCCACCAGTGCACAAACCTCTTGGAGTGTGATTTGACTCATTTGGTGCTTAGAAGGGGGCTTTAGCATTATTCCCATCGATAAACGAATGTGGAATGTAACATGCGTAAGCAGTGACTGGAAGAGTGCCGGCTCCATGGAGCATACCATTTTCATGCTGCGCACTGTATTCCTGGCTGCTGTGACCGGCGGCGCAGGTTATATTACGGAAAATTGAAAATTACAAAAAAATGAGATATATGACACAAAAAAAACAAATGTTCCATATTTTTTTTCTTGCTCTGAACTACATAGAGAGATGATATGGAGTCTGTGCAAGGAAAATAAATAATTACAATCTGGATAAAGGAAATCAAATGACAAATATGGACATTGGAAATGGCGATAAAGCTAAAAAAGTTTTCACAAAATAATTTCTGAAAGGGGAGGAGCAGTCTTGGCACCCGGCCTACGTGCTTCACGCCCGGGATGTTGGCTACTTACGTAACCATTGCACCCAGATCCAGGGGGTTAAGGCAAGATGAAAACATAGAAGAGAGATTACATGTCTTGATTCAGACTTTGCATCGAAAGCAAAGAAAATCATAATTTTTAGTAGTGTTAATAGAATTCTTTTAGAATTACTGTGTTGTAAATGGTTGACAGATATTATATACACATTTTATTTCATAATGCATTCCACACACAGGCTAGAGCGCCACTGCATGAGGTCACAACCACAGACGAGCAGAGGGCGTCCATCCTGACTGATATTGCGTATGCAGAGGGCTGCTACGGGGGCCACCAGACGCTGTGAGTTCAGACCAGGCTTCGAGTTTTGTTGTCATTGTTGGCATTTCAGTTCATGTTATTTTATTTTGGAAATGTGTATGTACTTGTTGAATTTTATTTTAATCAGTATCATTAAGATTTTGTTATTCTTATCATCATTATTTTTAACATCATTATCATCATGTGGTAATGTTCACTATTTTATGTTGGAAATGTATATTTACTTGTTGAAATTTATTTTAGGGTTCCTTCCTAGCGTAACATGTCTTTTTACTATTTATACATCTAGATTCTTGTGAATTCATCTTTTTCTATGATTTATTGTTTTATATGATAAAAATTGATTTTATATGTGCTTTATTTATATGGTTATAGTAGTCTCACCTATATTTCCATCTATATTAAGGGGAAGCTTTGATAACTTTGTGCTCTGTTGACTGATATTTGCGATATGGCAATGAAATAGACATCGTCTGGAGTATGAAAGTGAGCTCTTCAAATGCCTGCCTCCAGAATTTGCCTTAGGAAAACCTATTTAATTATCTCTCTTTCGTGGCTATGAGGGACTGACAAACTGGAGGTTTTGCAGTCCTTAGCAATGAACCCAACATTGACTGGAGCTTGGGCCATGTGCAGCAAATGTTCAAGGGAAAAATTAAATGTGCAGAAAATATGATTGCCCTGTGAACGAGGTTGAAAACTGAATGACTGTTTAGCTCTTGCAACTGAGAGTGGGCATGGATGTGCATACCTCCCAGAAAGGAGTCCAATCTCTCCATGACATGTATTTATGCATTACATATTGGCAACAGATTAAATATGGTACTTAATGAATGAAAAGAATGAGGGCCAAGTCAAATTCTGTCCCTCTTGACATTTGGCTCCTAGCAGCTGAAAAAATTTGGTGGACTTTTTTAATGTATAGAGCAGTGACCATGCCCTGCAGAAAGCCAGGATAAGATGCCAGAGCATCTAACCAAACTGCCTATGCTTCTGTTTATGGCTAGGGCCATCAATTATGACGGTTGTTCCACATATGAGGCACCCAGAAGAGTAAACATTACCAGGCATTCCACTGGTAGATCGGAGCTCGCGCTCTGATTTTGTCGCCCATGGCGGTGAGCGGGCAGGTTCCTGGACTTGCCCGTACGCCGATTTTAAAGCCGCCCAGAAAATATTATTTTCGAAAAATAATATTGAAAATGTACTGTCACTAGTGGGTTAAGTATGCAACTTGAGGCTTGGTGTATGCTAGAGCATACACCAAGTAACCAAGAAATACAGGAGGTGATTTACAATCACAATAAACAAACAGCGACAGTTTGACTGAGACCACAATAGTTTGTCCCTTCACCATGAATTATTATTGTTATTATTGTTATTATTATTATTACTCTTACTATTACTATTATTAATATTGTTATTATTAATCATTATTATTATTATGGTTATGTTATCATTATTACTGATTATCATTATTATTATTACTTTGAATAGCATTAATGTTCTTATTTTTGTCACCCTTAGGGAAGCTGAGCGTCTCTGGTCTTCCCTGGATACGATTACCAATGTAAACAAGGTCGTGGGATACTGGATGGTCACCTTGGAGAAGCAGGTTAGCCCCTGGGTCTCATTGGGGTTTCATTAGGGTCTCAGAGATCTCACTTGGGTTTCCCTGGGGTTTCCTTGGGGTCCCCCTGGGGTCTCCTTGGGGTCTTGTCGTGTCGCTGTCTTTTGGGATGTTTTCGCTGTCTTTGTTTTTATTACTGTCGCTTGTAATTCTTGTTCCACATTATTTTTGTCATCATTACTATATATTGTTTTCAGTGTTATTGTTTTTTTTTCTATAAAAATCATGATTGTTTGTCTTGATTATCTTCATTATTAACATTTTTTGATATTTTGTTAATGTTTATTATTTCCATATTGTTATCATTTTCCTTATGATTTTTATCGTTGTTGTCATGTTTCCACATGATTATGATTAGTGTTAATTCATCACATGATGCTCATTGCTATCTTTTCTTTCCCACATCCCCGCTCCCCTCCTGGTTTTATCCCCAACCCAGGGCTGCCACCAGCTTGTACGTGCAGGGGCTAATGGCGTCATGCAGGCCATGCTGCTCAGCTTTGGGGGCTTGCGCTTCAAAAACCAGCACCTCGAGTTCACTGCGCAGCCTAAGGATCTGCACAGAGACTACCATTTTAGGTAAGCCTTTGGGAGAGAGGTATGCAGATAGGGATAATGGGGGCGGGTGGTGAGAGGGGCGGGGGATGAGAGGAGTGGGTTTGGGTTATGAGTGGGGTGGGTGGCGAGAGGGCTGGGTAGTGGAGGGTGGAGGGAAAGGGACAAGCTAGGGGTTTGATGGCAGGGGTAGGTCTAGGAGCACGAAATGGTGAGATAGGGTAAGGGAACTGCAAAACGTTAAATGGATAGAATATATTGTGGTGGACTCTGCAGAGGAAAGTGTCTTTGATGTGATGAAGTTTTGTATCATTTCTATGTTATGGTAAGTATAACATCCTCCACATCCCCCTTCAACCTTGCTGGCCTCCATGGTCTCTCCTTTCTCCTCCCTGCAGGAGAATAAGCTATGGTAATGCAACACACCTCAACTTGACGGTGGTGGTGCAGGAGGAGGACTACAAGGCAGTGGTTTACGTGGCCGTCGACCGCTCAGACCGCAGCTACTACGCTTGTGATGCCGGCTGCCTCGACCAGCTTGTGGAACTGCGGTGGGTGACCTGTCTTGTCCTAATCTTTCTTGCATTCCATTTCTTAGATATAGGATCATGAAGATATGAAAAAAGAGAAGGAACAAATGACCAGACAGAAACAAATTAATTAAGAAGAGAATAAAAAAAATATTCAGGAATTGTATGCTCCCTTCTGTTTACCCCATACACCCTTGTATGCTCCTCTGCCCTCCATCTGTCCCCCTTTCATCCTCCCCTCTTCCTTTCTTCCTTCCTCAAAATAACTTGCCTTCCCATCTCTACCTTTATGCATTACCACCCTTTCCCTCCCTTCCTTGATCCTCTTCTCCTCCTTTCCTCTTGTCTGTTCTCCCTCTCCCTCTCCCTCTCCCCCTCCTCCCCTCCTCTGTCCTCCTTCCTCCTTTGTCTTTCCTCATTTCCTCCCCTCCTTACCTCAATCAGGCAAGAGAAGCAGATGTTTCCAGTAAAGCTGACGGAGCCAGTGACTCCCATCTTGTATATCACATCTGACCGAGCGCACTTGGAGGAACTCAAGCACACCATCCACGTGAAGGAGATTGCTTTGGGTGAGTGTTGATGTGTATTATGGATGTACATTTTATTTTTTTTTACTTGTTTTTAAAAAATAATGTATTGTAGTCAGAGTGTACACTTGCTCTCATTTCCATTTAATTTTTGTTCTCCCTATATCCCTATCTATACTAACCCTTTCACTCTGTCTACTTGTTTCTCTTGCAGCTCCCCCACATGAGCATCACGTGATTGCCATGCACAAACACGGCCACAAGTGGGGGGGGTTGCCCACGGTCTTCTGGCTCACCATTGTGGCTCTCATTGTCATCTTCCACCTGTTCCTCATCAAACTCGTCATTAATGAGTACTGTGGTGGTGACGTCAAGGTCAGATACAG